AGGAAAAACCACTCCGTTTTGTTTCTGCGCACAATACGCTTCCCGCTTCTGCCGCCAACGTGGCAATTCAGAGCAGAGCAGCAAGGCCTGTGCTCACAGGGCCGCACAGCTGGTGGGCAGCGGGCAGGCACAGAACACCATGGCCAAGGCTAGAGGCACCAGAGGAAGGCAGGGGTGGGCAGAACTGTACTTCCATCCTCCTGACTCAGATCCTCTAGCCCAGGGGTTACCAACCTTCCTAACGCTGCAACCGTTTTAATACAGCTCCTCATGCTGTGGTGACCCCCAACCATAAGATTAGTTTTGTTGCTCCTTCATAACTAATTTTGCTACCGCTATGAATCGTAAAGTTTCCCAATGGTCTTAGGTGACTTCTGTAAAAGAGTTGTTTGACACCCCCCCACACAAGGGGGTCACAACCAACAAGTTGAGAAACAGTGCTCTAGCCTACTCCCAGGGGGGGGGGTCCCTGGGACCACCCAGCCACTGCCCAGAGGAAACAGTGTCCGGTTAACTATCGGTGGCTACATGATTGACAGCTGTGATTTTTGAATCAATGTTCTGACTTCTTTGACCTCTTCAAGTGCACAATTGGGTAAATAATGTTCTTTACCTGTAAGGCTGTTTTGTGGCTTAAGCAAGATGAACACAGTGGCTGATACAGAAGGAATTATTATTAAGGAACTAGAAATCCTTTCTCCTCATACTGCTCCCTGAACCACAGTCTGTGGGGCACTGCTCTCTGAGACGTTGCTGGGGGCTAGCTCATGGTTTAGACATTGCCTGGTGTGGCTTTATTTGCAGTGCTTGCAGAAAAGCAAACGTCAATAACTGAAAAAAGAGGTCCCTGGGACCCTCACTCATTAGGGGCCAAGGGCAAGGCAACTGCTTTAAAATCATTAAAAATCACTAAGAAGAATGTGCTATGACTGTAACCATGGAAATGTAACCCTGTGAACAGAAGCGGCCATCCTCTCGGACCAGTGCTGGCCTGCCCGCTGCTCCCGTCACTCAGCACAAATGAAATGCAGTGCTCGGCTCAGAGGCCAGCAAAGCATTTAGAGGAGCCCTGGGGCCTCAGGGAAGCATGTGAAGGTGTGGGCAGCCTGATACCTGCCTGCTCCTGACAGAGACCACTCGGTCCTCGGTCCACTGTGGTCACCATGTCGATCCATTCTTCTCTGCTTCCAGCCCCTTTCCTTGCCTTCTTCCTCATGCCCTTTCCTTTCCTCCCTGGCATCCTCCTGTCTCTGCCCCTTCTCTTACTGATGCCTTTCTCTCCTGCATGCACGGCAAGGAGACGGGCAGGTCCTAGGACCTTAGACCCACCTAATGGTAGAGAAGTAGCTGAACAGGAGAAGCAGGCTGTGGAAGTCTGGCTTACACCTGCATACCTCTTAGGACCTTCCAGGGACTAGGTCAGGGGTGCAGGCACCGGCAGTGATGAACACCTGCATGCTGAGTGCATCTGCCACTCTGCTGAGGAGGCATGACCACTAGTTCACCACATCCTCTTTACCCACAAAGCTGGCAGCTGTGCCTAGTGGTGGCGGCCATCAAGGAGTCAACCATGCCTGGGTAGCAATGAGAGAAGACGCTGAGGATCGCATCAGGGGGATTGATTCTGCCAGACCTCCCACACCCCAGGACCACAGTAGGCACACAGTCCAGCATGTGCCACACGTGTGCAGTACTCAAGCCTAGGCCTGTGCGCCGTGGGCTGGTGGCCAGGGGTGGGGGCCCTGGAGTTTGCTGAGCCAGCATGGCGACGCCAGAAAGAGGCTGGCTATGAACACAGCCGGTGCCTTGTGTCAACGGGAGGGGCAGGAGGAGGCTGGGCTGAGTTCCAGGAGACAAGGGGAGGATGGGAGGGAGGATTGCAGCCAGGAATGACGCTGCGACAGCCCCTTCCATGTTGTCTCATGCATATGCTAAATGTCACAGGGTCTTGCAGGGCCTGGACACGCACCGCAGAAAACGTGCCATCTGAATGGTCCCATGGGGCCTGTCCCACTAAGGGCAGCAAAAGTGGGGAGCAGGCTCAGTAGAAAGTGGGCCAGGAGAGAAGGGATGCTGCGAGGGTCTGGGTAGAGGGCAACAGTTAGGGCAGTATGTCAAGCAATGCCAGGCCTGAGAGAGGAGGGGAGGGAAGCGGCACTGTGGCCTGAGGTGCCCCATGCACAGGACCTCCCTGAGGGGTCCGGTTATCCACACCCCCCAGCTGGAGGTCCAGTTCCAATGCTGGGACAGCTGAAAACAGAGTTTTCCTCGTGGTTTCATTTCCTCCTGAGAAGGAGGTCTGGGACAAAACTCTCATTCTTGGACTCCAAGAACATGAAGCAGTTATTCCTACATAAGAGCCAGGCCCTGTACTAAGCATTTCTCCAGTAGCACTGTGTGGACCTTACGGCAATGTGCTAAACATAGGTAGAGTGGCTCCATGACACCGCTTACTTACCTAAAGCCACACACCTAGGAATCAAACCCAGGTCTGTGTGACTTCACCATTCAGGCCCTGTGTTACTAGGCCCTACAGCTGGAAATCAAGGTGCACAAAGTAGAGGCCACCCTCTAACAGGTGCACAAGTTAGGGGCAGTCAGAGTGACAGCCTGTAGTCCTGGGTCCCTTCCCCTGCTACACCCCTTCCTGGCATTGCTACGAGCGCCCTAGGGAAGCTGAAAGTAGAGGAAACAGCCCTGGCCCAGGCAGGTGTGGAGCTCCACGTGGCTGCTAGGGAACTGGTCATTAGAGGCCAGGGCACCCCAGCCAGGATCCAGCTAAAGCAGGCTTCCATCTGAATCTCACTCTTCCCTCTAACAGGTCTTCCATCTAATCCAGCCCAGGGAGAAACAGAGGCCCCAGAGAAGCCCTGTAACCTAGGGACTGCCGCTGGGTACCCTTCCATCCTATCCTCTCCAAGGGGACTCGGGTGATGTGGGCACCAACCTAGAGGTGCTGTTTTAAGTCAACTTGACACAAGCTAGAGTGATCTGAAAGGCGGGGAACCCAATTGAGAAAAGGAGTCTGTAAGATCAGTCTGTAGGTCATTTTCTCATTAGTGATTGACCAGTGAAGGCCCAGCCCATTGTGGTGGCCCTGGGTTCTATAAACAACAAACAAATAAACAACAGGCTGAGCAAGACACCAGCAGTAAGCCAGTAAGCAGCACTCTTCCACTGCTTCTACACCAGCTTTGGCACCCAGGTTCCTTCCCTTCTGGAGCTTCTGCCCTCACTGCTTTTAATGATGAACCATTGTATGGAACGGTGGGTGAAAAAGAAACTTTCTTCCACATGTTTCTTTTGGTCATGGTGTTTCATCATAGCAACAGTAACCCTAAGACTGGTGCCAACTGGGAATTGGCATATAGGACAGATTCAGGTGTGTTCACTGAGGGGAACCCGGTAGGGAACAGGTAATGGCATGCTGACTATTAATATGGGCCTCTCAATACAATACCCCAAAGACCATCAGCCTCAGGCACTAGTTGCCTACTGGTTCCTGGGGAACAGGACACAGGCTGAAGCTTGAGTGGCTCCCAGGCTATGGTGGCATCGGGGTTGAAAATTCTGAGTTTCTTGAGTTCTGCATTGAGTGGAATACTGAACACAAGGAGGCCTGAGCCAGGCCTGTTCTTCAAGACTTCAGAAACAGACACCAGCTCCAGCACCAATTATTCCTCCTATCTTGGGGCCAGAATGACTGCAGGAAATAGAATTTGGGGACCAAAGGAGAACAGAAAGTACTATGTATGGTTCTGTTCTTGTGGCCTTAGAAGGGATGTGGATGATGGGGCTGGAAGGCAGAAAAACCTGGCAGGCAGGGGCCCTTCAGCAGTCCTCAGAGAAGCACCCACACACTTCTCTAAAGCCTGGATCTACAGGGAAGCCTAGGCTATGTGCCAGCGTGGCAGGCCAGAGGGCATATCTGGAACAGGCCCCCGCAGGCCTGGAGTGTCCTGGGCAGTGGGCAGACTGTGACTAGTCCCTCTGGTACACACAAGGCTAAGACACCACTAAGCATCTTCTTCACAGCCTTCTTCCTGAGCAGGCAAAAACACTACAGCCATTGGAACCCAGAGACCTCTGCCAGTCCTGGGCCCTGCCTACCATCCGGGCATCAACATTATCACGGAAGGGAAAACATACAGGTGGCGGAGAACGAGAAAAGACAAAAAGAACAGGGCTGGGCTGGAGAAGTGGCTCAGCAGTCAAGAGCACAGACTGCTTTTCCAGAGGACATAAGTTTGTTTTCCAGCACCCATGTTAGACAGCTCACATACACCCCCCCCCCCGTAACTCCAGCTCTAGGAGCTGATGTCTCTAGCCTCTGTGGGCACTTTCCTCACGTGCACATACCCACACACAAACACACACATCATCAGAAGTAAATCTTAAGGGGAAAAAAAAAGTACAGGGCTAAGGGTGGACCTAGGATGCAATGGTCACCTGCTCCCTGCAGCCCAGGCCAGACCCTCATGCAGGATTCAGTCACCGGCAGTGGCGATGCAGCCCTGCAACCAGCATCAAACCCCCGCGGCACTGCGCCCACCCCACTCCACCCATCCTGCTCATCCACAAGCTGACGAGTCCTAACAGGCCTCCTTTGCCAGTGACAAAAATAACTATTTTCAAAATTCACAGCAGGGCCTTCGCCTACACACACTGCGCCGACTGGAACCTGAAGGGAGATATGTGGAACGCAGTGTGCGGATGAAGCAGTGCTATGCGGCACGCAGGCTCTACAGCCATCACCCCCTCCTCGACACTCCTGAGCCCGTGTCCCCCAGATGCAAACGTGCACGGTGGTGCCCATAACAACCACAAGTGAGAGCTCTTGGACCCTCCACTGTATGAAGAGAAACCCCGAGGCCCAGAGAGGGTCAGGGGTTTGCCTGCAGCCACACAGTGAACCTGAGGCAGGACTCCCTCCCCACCCTTTTTTCCTTCTGCTAACAGTGAGCTCATGGGGGTCCCCAGGGACGCTTATACATACGCACAGACCAGCATGGCTTGCCTCTGGGTAATGGCACTTTAATCAAGTTCACAGTCTCCTCCACAACCATTAGCTTGGCCAGTTTTCTTCAGCACCGTGAGGTAGGCAGAGCCAGGACTAGCATTTCCCTACCCTTTGCAGGTAGGTAAATCAAGGGCCTGGGGGAGGGAGGACTGTGTTCAAGGCCAAAGGAGATGATTGGTTCAAAGGCTCTTTTCACAGCTGTTTCCCCCACCCTCACTAAGCAGCTGCTCAGGGCCCAAGTCAGTTGCCCCTGGATGCTGGGGGAAAAAAGAGGAACATTCCACTAGGCTCCCAAGTCTTGAGGCTCCAGGAATGTGAAGATTCTCATACCCTACACTGTCCGACCTCATTGAGTCCTTCAACAGAACAGCCAGATGGTAATGCTCCAGCTGATATCTAAGAACACCACAAAGACCCAGAAAGAAGGTCATGGACTTGAGTCCTCTGGAAAGTGGTGAGGTCAGCAAGGACCTGCCATGGCCCCAGACACATGTGTGCACCAGAATCGTAAAGTCACCAGAGCCCATTTTAGAGGTGAGGAGGAGGCAGAATGCTGTTATTGGTACCTGAGGTGATAGAACATACACATCAGGAGAGAGGCAAGACTGGCACCCAGGCATCCCAGCCTGGCTTGTGCCCTTCCCCAAGTCACGCCCTATTCAGCTGAGGGCTTCTGTGCCCTCCCTTCACATGCCTGCAGATGAAGACTTGACCTTGGCCTTCTCCCTGAGAACCAGCAATGGGACAACATCTGAAGGGGAACGGAGATTCCCTGCCACCCCCAGCCATCAGATCCGGTGGGACATCAGCCTGGTGTTGAGTTTACGGAAAAAAGATCTAAGCTTGCAAATCTTGCATTTCTTCTTGCGTCGGCCTCGAGAGAAACTTCTGCCCCTGCCTTCTTCCACCTCCTCCTCTTCTTCCTCATCGCTGGCCCAGGGGCCCCAAGCACCCCCATTAAAGTCAGGATGGGCCCGAGGGTTAGCAGCCGGGTAGCGCACAGGGATGGCAGTTCGGTTATAATCAGCTAGGCGAGCCAGCAGGGTGCGGACAACATCAGGTCGCTGGCCAGCCAGGTCCTCTCGCTCATAAGGGTCAGCACTGATGTTAAAGAGCCACACAGCCTGGCGGATGCTGGCCATCCGCTCCAGGTTCCACCAGCTGCCAGGGAAGGAGGCCAGTGTCTGCGGTGGAATCCAGTCGCCGTAGCCTGGGTCTCCGGTGAGCAGCTTCCACTCTCCCACCCGGATAGCAGCCTGCACGGCTGTATTCCAGATGCCAAAGCCACCCTCCAAGGAGCCATGCTGGGCATGGTTGTAGAGGGGGTCGATGTTGTGCAGGATCTCTGTGCGAGGCGAGGCCTGGCCCTCGCTGATGGCTGGCCACACATCATACCCATCCAGGCCATCGGCTGCTGATGTAGAGCCACCCGCCAGGCCCACCAGTGTTGGGTACCAATCTGTGATATGCACCAGGGCCCGACTGGTCCGCCTCTTTTTCTTGAGCAGGGGGCTGTGGACGAAACCCAGGCCCCTCACACCACCCTCCCAGTAGGTGCCCTTCCGTCCTCGAAGGGGCCAGTTGCTACCCCCTGAGAAAGTCTGGCCACCGTTGTCACTGGAGAAGATAACAACACTGTTGTTATAGAAACCGTAGCGCTTGAGGGCCCCGGTGATGTTGCGCACAGCCTCGTCCATGCAGGTCACCATGGCCGCATACTTGCGCCGAGCCACATTGCCCATTCTGCGGTAGCGGTAAAGGTACTCTCGAGGTGACTGCAGGGGCGTGTGTACTGCCTGGAAAGCCACGTAGAGGAAGAGGGGCTTCTGGGGATTGTGGCTGGCTAGGATGTGGCTGGCACGCTGGGCATAGAGCATGGTGGAGTACTGGCCGCTGAGCCCCCAGGCCACACTCTCGCCCTCATGCAGGTCGAAACCACAAACCCCCGGGCCATCACAGTTGTCATAAGTGTAATAGTCCACATTGCCTGTGAGGGAGCCCAAGAAGGTGTCGAAGCCCCTTCGGGTAGGCAAGCACTCCTTCCGGTAGAAGCCCAGATGCCACTTGCCCACCATGTGGGTGGAGTAGCCTGCCTCCTGTAGCTTCTGGGGCAGCGTCACCTGGTCCAGAGGCAGACAGTTGGGCTGCCGTGGGCGGATGATGGAGTGTTGCAATCCTGTGTGGATCTGGTACCTGGAGGTGAGAGATGGATACATGGGAGATACAAGTGAGCTACAGAGCACTGCTCCCAAAAACAACTCCCAGGAGCACCCTGAGATGGGCCCTGGTGTAGTGCCACCAGAGGGGACAGTACAAAAGCCCTAGACACTGCAAATGGGCTAAGCACCTACAAAAGATTATCTAAAATCTTGATATCAATGAAGCAGGTATGGAAACTTATTGATAAGATGGTATAACTGCAGCTCAGAACAGTTAAGCTACTGCCCAGGACTGCACAGCCAGGAAGTTGGTACATCAAGAGTTGAGCCAGTTGATATCAGTTAGAGCTGACACCAAGCTCTTGCTGTGTGTTCAGCATCACACTTCCTTTGAACTGGGAAATTCACGTCATTATTTCCACCTCCCAAATAAGGAAACGAAAGCTCTGGGATTCACTTGGCTAGTATGAAGAGTAGGCTCGCTATCCCAGCAGAGGCTCCAGCCGGGAGTCCCTGAGCTCTACGCTGTAAATTTAGTACACAGCCTGGGTACACCAAGTCCTGGTCTCCCAGGCAAACTCCTACTCCTTGGAAGCCCACAACTTACTCAATGAGTTACTTTGTTTCTGGGTCTTCCTCCCCTGCAGCAGGCACTTGGTACACACCTCTACTGTCTGATTGGCTTTGGAGTACAACTGAATATGCGCTCTGACCCCATGATACAGAATAGAATTGCCTTTGTATTCCTAACACCTCCATGATACTTAAAGCTCACTCAGTTAACTATGGAATGAACAAACAAAAGAATTCAGAGGGTTTGGTAAGGTCAAGGGGTCAAGATCAAGGTCACACAGCAATCAAGGGCAGCACTGAGACTTGAACATGAATCCAAACAGAATCTGTTTTCAGGCAAAGTAGGCCACCCACCTCCTCCCACTTGAGAGCGGATGATGTTGCAAGAATGAGTGAGCTGGCTGGAATGAGAAATCCCTAGCAGTTGCCCTGCCCCAGGCTGTGTGGACCAGCACACCTACTGCAGCAATCAATGCCTAGCAGAATCCTGGGTTTCCTTCATATCTCATCTTCCACTGCTGTGATCCGCTCGACCCAAGCGATCTGCTTGAGACATCTTAAAAGGAGCAAGTAAATAAACTACCTGGAATATAGCAAGGGAGTTAGAATCCCACACCTTTCCTTAGCCCTAGGCAGCTGAGTTAGCGAATGCCTGAGTATTCCCTACTTGACAGAGACTAATTCCTTTCTCTTAAGGCCATTCTAAAGACAGTGCCACACACAAACATTATCTCATTTAATTCTCCCACACACACACACACCATGTCTGTGTGTGTGTGTGTGTGTGTGTGTGTGTGTGTCTGGACTGAACTCCCAGCCTTGAGCATGCTCTGTAAGCACTCTACCACTTAGCTATATTATATCCCCAGCTTTTCAAAAAGTTTCTAAAAAAAATAATTCATTTATTTTGTGTGCATTGGCGTTTTGCCTGCATGTACGTCCATGTGAGAGTGTAGGATTCCCTCAAACTGAAGGTGCAGACGGTTGTCAACTGCCCTTGTTATATCCAGTTCTCGGACCCCTAAATACCTACCTTTGCAAAACACTCGAGGGTCTTTTATTACAAGCTTGAGTCCAGTGGCCGTCCTTTACAAAGACAAAGGGGCAAGCGAACCTCCCACCCCACCCCACTCTGGGAGAACAAGGTTTTTAAAGGAACAAAAATGAAATCAGTGTAGTACAAGCCTTGGCATTACAGGGTTGGGTAAGAGGGTACTCTCTAGGGAAGCTGACCTTTAAAATGATTGGTCTGCTTTTAGGCGC